CCCATGTTTTATTTTGTGTTGCCATAAGTTTAATTCTAATGCTAATAATGCTGACGCGAGGATAATAAAATGGCGGCTCTACAAAACATTTCAGAGTTTTACGGGGCGTGGCTTGCAATTCTCCCAGCCAATCAGGACTGGGGCACTTTTTTTCCCCCAGGAGAGTACCTGCTCTCAGCAGGCACTAAAAATGGGGGTAAAAGTTCCCGGCACTAAGTACTCTTTTTGGTGTGAACGCGACATAAGGGGTACTAACGGAACTAAACGGGAAGAGTACGGGGAAAAGTACTCCGTTGTGAACGCGCCTATTGTGTTATTTTTAACCAAATATCTCTCAGAGGGGCGTGGGGAGGGGCTCCTTATTTTCATCTAAAGTGACAGACAGAGAATCAACACTTTTGAAACAGGGCTGAAACAGAGGGGATTATGGGATGCTGCAATGATCTGTTTGGTATTTGGAGCCAAACACTTCAGAGACATGTCTGAGACCTATAATATATTGATGAAAAACAGTATAATAGGTGACCTTTAAAGTTGAATATCAGATCTTTATCTAACAGGAGATGAGCAGAGGGTTTCCGCTGCTGGTTTGACACCCTGAAGATGAAACCAGGCCTTTCTCTCCCTCTCCTCCTTCATCCTCCCCTCCGATTCCCAGCAGATCCCTGGAGGACAGCCGGAGACAGAGAGCGTCGGCGACCTGCAGAACCTGACAGGGACCTGGACGGGGAAAATGTACCAATTACAATTCCAACAACGAACAAGTGAATTTATTTATTTGTTTATTCCACACATGGCAGTTATTTTAAAACAAAACATGTAGACTTTACAAAACATGTAGACTTATACTGGTTGTTTTTCAGTTTTTGTTTTTATAGCGCATGGTGGAAAGGAGCAGGGACTCTTAAAAAAAAATGAAATAACCATAAATAGTCAAATAAAAGCAATATTCTTTCAGTCACAGTTCCTTATAATTACTGAAACATAAAACCAGAACACAATCAAAAGTCAACTGTCTAATTACGCTTTCTTTATACATTTTCTTAAACATACAACATTTCTTACAGCCCTTTAAATCATTCTGCAAATAATTCCACTTCTTTACGCCAAGAGACACACAGCTGCTTTAAAGTAGTATGTGCAAACTGATGTTTAAAGTGTTATTTGCTCATCCTCTGAAATTAAAACTAATTTGTTTTTTATCTTTTCTGAATACTTATTGTAGGTTGGAATAAAGCTGGAGTATTTAAAACACACCTACCATCTCCAGTCCTGCACACATCCAGAGTATCCATCACTATCTTCCCCAGGGTCCTGCGGGACACGTTCTGCAGGTACAGTGAGAGATTGTCTTTTTAGATTTATTCAAAGAAACAAACACACAGTAAAAAGCAAACACAGCTTCATATCAACATGCACAACATATTACTGTCAGGTGTAGTACCACAGTTAGAGTGGGGAACCATACAGTATTTCCCCCCTGAATGTTCAATATGGAATAAACTGTTTTCTGTGTTTTATGGGTCTGTTTTTATTTCATAATGGCATGGTGCCCAATCACACTTTGATTTCACTCCACCTTGTATTATGTTATATAATGTCATATGTTATGATATCCCTTTCTAGTTCATGTCATAGGAACACTGCTTTGAGATAAAGTTAATCATCATTATGAAATTATGAAATAAAATCTGGACTTTTTTCCAAACTCAAATAAAAATGATATTCAATAAAACAATTTCACACATTTTGTAACACTTGAGGACATAAAAAGGAACAATTAAATTCAAATTTGGACATAGAAATGCCTGGCATCTAAAGCATTTCACCATATCCACTAAGCTTAAATACACTTCTCTTAAAAAAAAATGTTAATTATTGCTGTATAAAATATGTTCTAGACATATACAGTTAATATTGAAAGCTCTATGCACGTCCATTAGGATGGAATAAACACTAGATGGCAGTAGAGAGAGAAAGTGTGAGCGTGTGAGTGTGAGTGTGAGTGTGAGTGTGAGTGTGTGTGTGTGTGTGTGTGTGTGTGTGTGTGTGTGTGTGTGTGTGTGTGTGTGGCCTAGCATTACTATACTTGTGGGGACCTACATCTGTTTACAGGGGAATCATTAATTTTAGTGTGAAGACTTCGTTAGGTTAGGGTTAGGTTTAGGATTAGGGTTAGGGTAATGGTTAGGCATGTGTTGGTTATGGTTAAGGTTAGGATCAGTCTCAAGGAAATACATCTAAGTCAATGTAATGTCCCCTGAAGTGATGTATACATGGTATGTGTGTGTGTGTGTGTGTGTGTGTGTGTGTGTGTGA